TTTTTAATCTACCAGACCGCTTCTTTAGGGCTCTAATACTGTATTGGATTATTCTGCTTTTATATGCTACACTGAAAGGTGGAATCTTAGAAATGATATTTAAGCAAACTATGGACATAAGCTTTTTAGGACAGTAGAATTACATGTATATATTTGTATCGAGCAATGCTCTTCCGCAAACAATAAGGACAAGGCCAGTTAGGCATAAATTGATACATAGCAATTTGGAAGGGTGGAATATTTTTAACAAAATAGTCCAAAATATTTTTGACCTAATTTTTACATCACAGAGTTTTTACAAATCATGGGAATTGTAAAATCATTTTGAAAATAATTCAAGTAGTGAAAGATTCAAGATATGGCTTTGAATACCAAACTCAAAGACATCTTTTACTGAACTGTCCAATATATTTCAAGATTACAAATTTCAAAATGGAATATTAGCATCTTATCTTAATATATTCATATCCAGCGAAGATTTCTATATAAGGTTTTTTTCAACTAATTTTGGTAAATATATTCTAAAGCTTCTAAAATTCATTGTGTATATCTCTCTCTCTCTCTGTTATTCTTCTTTCTAATGTTTAAATATATGTCATGAAAAAGGCATCTCCTTATCGTACAACTGAAAGTTACTGATGGCTTGCGCCATATATCGTGATGAATATCAATTAATATCAATATCAAATAATTTATTCTGATAGATGGCGCAAACCATCAGTAACTTTCAGTTTCACGATAAGGAGATGCCTTTTTCATAATTTATGCACCTTATCCCAGTACAATATCACATTTGTACTATTTTTTCACAGTATATATACGTGTTTATATAAATCCATTTGTATAATTTTCTTACAACATAAACCTTAGATTATTAAAACATTGGATCAGTAAACATGAAGGCAACCACTTCGTTCATTTACATTACTTTATTTTTCATATAACATTTTTGTAAACAAAAAAGGTGATGATGATAAATTCAATGAATATTTAAACAATCATAGAAAAATTATATTAAACCTTTATATAAACATAAATATTCTAACTAAATTAAACACCATTGTATTCATTGACTTGAAAATACTTTATTACTTTCATATTCAAATTGACATTCGCAAAATTGAAGATAAAATATTCTCTAATATCTTCTAACTTTGATAATGTAAAAAATAAGACAATATAATTCATTGATAAAAAGGCATCTCCTGATCATGCAACTAAGTTTCTGATGGTTTGAACCATCTATCGGAATAAATATCCATTAATCGTTGATTTTTTATTTATTACAGAGTTTTTTCAAAATAACCTTTCTTTTTTATAGAATAATATAAATATATATATGTTGTAATATATTCCAATATATATTTATGTCTCCATGTGTTGTATAGTTATAATGTAATTGCCAAGGTAACAAATAAAATTTCGAGTGAGTGACAGTCGGCGCCTGTAGGAGGAAAATGGTCCGAAAAAATAAGTCGGGTTCCCAGGTGTGCCCCTTTCTTAGTCAAACAGATTAGTCCGTTTTGAGACACGATTGACAGACCCCTCTAGACAGTTCTCCCCTGACCGGTGTCGGCTTCACTTACTCTCTCGCCATCTCCGTGGTGACACCTACCATGTCTCGTTCTTAGGTGCAATACATTCACGCCTGAACCCACTCTAACATTGAGGTCACAACGACTGCATTTAACCAACACACTACAGTCATCCTACAGGATCCTTACTACATATATGTTATATAATTTTATATAAAAAATCCTATTATATTTAACACTCGTGTTCTATTGGCGTATCATTATACCATGTTTTCCCCTGTAGAAGGTGTCCGTGGCCGAAGGCTAGAGAACAATAAAATGTTTTGAGAATACACTTTTCTTTGGAGGAATGATTAATTTTACTCAATAACCTTTCTTTATTAATCAAGGAAAAGCTAACCACGTATGTATTTTAAGGCTGTTGACCCTCTTCAGTGTGGTGCAACTGTACCTCAATAACCAAAAAAAAAAGATGGTCGTTGGGGTATCCTTAAAAATCATGAAACAGATATTTAGACGAGAAAGGTATGAGAACGTGAAACTATGTGAAATATCATTTTTACTATTTTACAAATATAAATTATATTCTACTAGGCACAAGTGTCTTTTCCGGGGACATGAAGCTTTGATGTTGAAATTAAAAATAGACTTCATGTTTGATACTTTAGGGAATACATTATTCTAAGATGTACAAAAATGTAATGCCTTGATAAAGATTGGCATTCAACCAACCGAAATATTATCAAATAAATGTTTTATTCAATCCAATATATGCCTTTTTATTATCTAATTATTCAAAGAATTAAGAATTTTGTTGAGACATCATTTCAACATTTTTTTAGGTCTTCCGTAATGTCACAGCCTGTAAAGAGGATGAAGATTATCTCGATTCCTTCCGACAACTCAGAACAAGGTCTCAGTGTGTGGAAATTGCCTAATGTATGCCACAATTTACCATGTTGCCAGCTATACGGCTGAGTCAGCTCGTGTAGACTATATGTATAATAAATCACAGTACCTGACACAAATTGCCAATCCTTTCATTCCTGCATTTCCCTATGCATTTTTACCAAATAAGATAATATGCGAAAACACAACAGCTTCTCTATTTTTCCCTCGGCGGGAACCACCAATGAACACTGTATATATTTTACATGTATGTATGTTATATTCAATTTAATTTTTTTCAATATATATATTTTTTTCTAATTTGACCAAAAACAAAAAGCTTTTTAAAATTATTATTTTATTCTGTTGTGTATATATAGATTTGTTTTTCTTTTGGGTTGGTTAAATGTGTTTTTTTTAATAAACTCATTTGCCAAAAATATAATATTATATAGTTAAATTTGTGTTTAAAATAAGCATATTTGCTAATAATTGATATTTCATTCTTCCTTTTTTTTTGTAAGTATAATTTGCATTCGACAATCTAAACATTTACTTAATAATCAATATTACTTTTTTATTTTCTCCCTCCCCCTAAATATAAGATGTATATGTCATAATATATACTCTTCAAGGAATAATAAAGCAAACCTACAGACAACCCAGAGAGAGACGGGAGGGTAAGGACCGGTCACTTTAGACATCGGCGACATTCCAAGGGGCGACTACTGGGGCCCGTTACTTGGAACCTCGGGACTATTAAGACAGTTGGGGATTGTGGGCGACACGAACGGCCGCTCGGCTGTGCCGGGCCCGTCTCTCCCCTCTCTCTCTCTATGGTTGCCTGGGTTCCTCTTTCAAAAAAAAGAAATAAATAAAATAATTTTATAGTTGAAATTAATTAAGGTTACGGTGACATAGTTTTATGTAAATAAAATATTGTATAGTACACAAGTAAATATTATTTACAAGCAGTTTTACAACACCGGAGAGTTTGGTATTTAAGGGAAATTTTGATAATATCAAAGTTATAAAAGGCTATAAACAATAACATCTAATCTACTTATATAATTGCCTTATTCTGAAGCTCACGGATAGAATGCGCGCCCATTGGCTGCCGCCAGCGAACACATGTCCTCCCTGCCCCCCTCTAGACAACCCTGTTATCAGCTGTGTGATACATACACCTGTCTATAGCGGCCATTCTAGACAACCCTGTTATCAGCAGTGTGTTACATCCACCTGTCTATACAGACCACCCTGTCTATAGCGGACACTTTAGGCAACCCTGTAATCAGCAGTGTGTTGCATCCACCTGTCTATACAGACCACCCTGTATATAGCGGCCATTCCAGAAAACCCTGTTATCAGCTGTGTGATACATACACCTGTCTATAGCGGCCACTCTAGACAACCCTGTTATCAGCTGTGTGATACATCCACCTGTCTATACAGACCACCCTGTCTATAGCGGTCACCTTAGGCAACCCTGTTATCATTAGTGTGTTACATTCACCTGTCTATACAGACCACCCTGTCTATAGCGGTCACCTTAGGCAACCCTGTTATCAGCAGTGTGATACATACACCTGTCTATACAGACCACCCTGTCTATAGCGGCCACTCTAGACAACCCTGTTATCGGCTGTGTGATACATACACCTGTCTATACAGACCACCCTGTCTATAGCGGCCACTCTAGACAACCCTGTTATCGGCTGTGTGATACATACACCTGTCTATACAGACCACCCTGTCTATAGCGGCCACTCTAGACAACCCTGTTATCGGCTGTGTGATACATACACCTGTCTATACAGACCACCCTGTCTATAGCGACCGCCCAAGACAACGTTTTTAAAATATATTCGCACTCGGGTAAAACCCGGGTTGCCCGGGCCATTCGTCTAGTGTATTATAAGGGAAATGATATTGAGGAGTGTGAACAAGGAGAAGAGGAGTCACAAACACATGATGAAAATATTGAGCCATTAAGACTGGAAAACTCTACACTTTAATCAATTATTTTTATCTATTTAATATATTTAATCCTATATTTATCATTATTCATATTTATATTTGTTCTGTACTTAACCTTATATAATCTTATATGGACATTGTAATAAATCAATTTCAATCTCTCTCTCTCTCTTGAGAGATGTGCAATATTTCTAATTTATCTCTTAGTTTTGAAGATCATTTATTGGTTGAAAGTTTGTTTGGAAAATATATGGCTACATCCACCAATTGTTTCTTTGAACAAATATTTATTATTATAGAAAAATATTTTATAAATATTCAGGAAACAAATTCTGTGTAAAAAATGTTCAACGTGTAACCACCAATTTAAAAAATGATTCTGTTTTAAGATATCTGGTATGTGATAATTTTTATTTCAATATAATACACTGCGGCCTGTGATTGCAAAACGACACTTGAAGTTACACCGCATGAGTTTCTTTTCAACGAAAAATCAAAATTTTATTTCAAGGTGAAATATTGACTATTTCTAACCTTTTTGGATGAGGTATGAAAGGGTGAATTATGAAGAGTAATGATGAACGGAAAAATAAAAGTGTCCAGGAATGGGAATCGAACCCACAATGTTCCGCTTACCGGGCAGATGTCATGTCCACTAGGCTACCCTGGACATATTTCTCCGTTCGTAAAAATTATATAAAGTAATTTATAATATATTTTTAATAATTTTTTATTTGTACTTAAAAAGAAATAATTCACACTCTTATATATATGAGGTATTTAATCACAAAACACTTGTTAAAATTTTAAATTTAAATTGGAATACTTTAAAAACGATTTAAATGAACGAAAAATATTTGAGAATTAAATTCATTAAAATATATCAATCGATGAAGGTTCTATGATTAAAAAAAAAAAAATTAAAAAAAAACTAACTGAAAAAAAAAATTATCTGTTGCTATGGAAACGGTGGTGTTTTATTTTGGTTTTGATTAAATCCTTGAGAGCGTCCCAGAATTTGAATAGTCGTCTGCTGCCACCTGGCAGAGTGGCCGAGTTGATTTAATTATCTGGAGTTTGATCATTTGGCGGGGGTGATTCCCATAATTCAGTTCGCGTCAACGATCTCCCTTTATCTAATCAACACTGAATGCAATTAATTACCTATTACCTCACCAAATATATCACCATCAAAATTAATTAGTTATTATTTTTCGCTCAGGAATCTTTCTCTCATTTTCTAAAGATTAAGGAAAAATAGTTGGCAGTAAATATTCAAATGGTCAAAATGAATTAAAAATAGTATTAATGATTAATTATTAAGATTTTGCATTTTTAGAATCATAATGGGTGAATATGTAGTTATCTTCGGTATTGATATATGTTTATTAACGTCTTCTTGATTTGTAGCGCCAACTATCAGCTCACAATGACACGCGTTTTGGGTTTGCCATTGTTGTCGCTATCGCATACGTACGTGAAGGCACGTACTTCCACAAACTACGCTCGTTAACTTGGAGGATTTTTCTATATTGTTGCATCAATTTTAATATGCCCTACACTTATTCAAAATATTCCATGATATTTAATATTTATTTAAAAGGGATTATTTAGATTATCATCATTCCTTTTAATAGTTTCATTCCTTTTGTAATATTGTTATTGTACATATATCTTGATTGGTTATTGGAGCGAGAGAGGACCTAGACCAAGACTGCGGATCACGACCTACGAGGAAGACAACGAATAAATAAACACAATAACTTTAAAAGGTAATTTATTTCTATTTACTTTTATTTATTTGCTTTGAGTATGGAAACCAGCTCGGGAAACGTGTATAACACCAAGAAGGAAGAAACCAAGGTCGACGACCCTGCAAAGCTGCAACTTGGTGCAACAATATGTTTGATGGTGTTTGGAAACGAATTTCTGGACACCAGAAAGGCAACATTTTAGGCCTATCGAAGTGCGGTGGATTAATATTCATTTTTAGCTATAACGAACATGGAGCAAAGAACTTTGCAATAAACCTGATTTCACTCATAGTTTGCCCGAATATCATATACATAAGTGCAGCATTCTAAATAATTACAATACATACAAGGTAAGTACAAAGAAGAGAAATGTTTCTCTAATATATACATATGAGGTAGGTGTATAATCTAAACTGTCGCAATCTTCTACATATCAAATATAAGAAAATTGCGATATACTTTTATAAAAAGATCAAAAAACCTATCGCAATGAATTTATTTTAATTAAAGGAAACTTATTGCAAATGATTTTCGATCTTCTACATATGTCTTGGACTAATTGTACTATCAGCGTTGTTGGAATACAAAGGGCTACTTAGCATTAGAATATAGAGATTACTTTTAAAGAAATAGAAACAGTAGCCAAAACAAAAATAAATAAGAACTGGAGGATCCCACTTAAGCACAGTTGGTACAGTGGAGTGAACCCAGGAGAAGCTCTGAACATCAGTAATAGACAGCATCAAACAACACTAACAAGATTTAGAACAGGCCATCTCAAGCCATTGAAGATAGAAAATAATAACAAAATCTACCCCACTTGCCCAAAATGTAGCTTGGCACCTGCAGCTCCAGAACACATTTTGGCTTGCATTAGATGCACTAAACAGGACCTTTGGGAGAGACCACTGCTTATCATAAAACAGCTCGAGGAGCATGAACTCATGGAATTCGTGTAATCTTTAAACAAGGGGATAAGAAACAACAACAGAATATAGAGATAATGTGGCAATTTATATTTTTATCTCCAAATCTATCTTTATATATATTGAGAGTAAAATATAATAGAACCATGATTAATAGAGAAAACAGACAAAAGTCAAATAATTCACACAGAATCTACACATAATTGAAACATTGAGAAGAATTATTAGATGAAGAAAGTTCTAAAGAGACAAAGGTCGCCTCTTCTGTCAAAATAGACATCAAAACAAGGCGTTATCTATTGACCGTCTTCGCAAACTAGCGGTCTCGGGTCGATGACAAAGCCACAACACCAGCTTTGGCAAACTGAAAAGCGTCCACCTAGAGACCTAGGTTTCGGGCTAATGGCCCTCCTCAGCCTATGGCGGACTTTATTCCATGAGATCCACACGGGATCTTATGGAATCTTGACAATCTACCAAAGAGGTGTTTAGCTGGCAAAGTGGCTGGGCCATATCTATGGCTAAAATATAGATGGAAATTTTGCCGGAAGGATATTGATCTAAAGAGACAAAGGTCGCCTCTCCTGTCAAAATAGACGTCAAAACCAGGCGCCATTTTGACGTCTTTGATGTTTTGACGTCTATTTTGACAGGAGAGGCGACCTTTGTCTCTTTAGATCAATATCCTCCTTTGTAAAATTTGATTAAAAGAATCAATAAAACTGTTTAAATTGTCAAAAAAATTGTCTATAAAGAAAGTTGTGTGTGTTGTTATAGATTACATTGTAGAAAATATACTCCAGGTTCGACGCTAGTCAAATACGAAGGGTTCTGGAATTCCTGCGGTGAAAAAGTAGATGGCAACAGGATGTTCCAAATATTGCCTGAAGAAGAAAGCAAGTTGGACAAATCTCACTTTGGAAGTTAGCCGGAAGATGACAAGATAATATTTTATATAGATACTGAGTGTATAATTGTTGTTGTTGTCGTGTCCAAAGAAGAGTCTCACATGTCTCCATGCATCTCCATCACAGCAGCAGCAATATCCACTATCTTGGGTATGTAAAGCTGCTGTGCTGGGTCCATGTCAATTTTCTGCAAGGCCATTGCTGGGCATGAGAATATGTGAGTAGGTGTTAGTTCCACACCAGGACAGTTGTTGCATGTACTGTAGGTTCTTGTGCCATCTGGATGTATTGCCATTCTTTTATAGGTGTACTAGCGGATGTGCCCGGCTTCGCCCGGGTTTTTACCCGAGTAAAGGTTTGTCTAACGAACATTTGTTAAAACAATTCTCTATAAACTTATTTAAAAAAGAAGATATATTTTGATAATTTGAAACTTGTAAATTTGAATCTCTCGATAAAGTGAACATTTTTTCCCGGTCCCTGTGTGCCGTGTCATCCTGAATTTTGTCTTTCCTAATTTTCTACATTACAAAATCATCGTTTTATCTAGTGAACATTTTTTTCCGGTCCCTTGAAATATACTCGATAAGTTGAATAAAATCAATATTAATTGGTTCCCTCGGTAATTGGAAGTTAAAGGAATAGTATCTTTGCCTTGGAATTGTATCATTATTCTTGTCTCAAATAAATTGCCGTGTCATCCTGAGATAATCTTACTTTTGATAAATAATATTTAAGATTTTATTATATATATTATATTATATATATATTACACGTTATTTGTTTTCTTGGCCGACTGTTTTACATATGGTGTTATCTTAAAATTGCTTGTTTTGAAAATTTTTTTAGATTGAGATTATTAGCTAGTATGTAAAAAAATTAACTCTGTTGAAATTTAATTTTGTATTTATATATAAATAAAATTAACTCTGTTGATTTTTTTGTATTTAATCGATAACAGCGAAGTTACGCATGTTAATGTTAGGGAAAAATATTTTGATGTTAAGCAAAACCTGCTCCATCTCGTTTTACATAAATGTTGAAAATTTGGTTGAAATTGATGCATTGTAACGAAAGTTTTTAGTGATGTCCTCTTATGAAATTTGCATTTTATTAATATAGATACTTGTGAATAATATAATTAATGTGATGCACTCGCGTGCCATCTATTATAAGAAATTTAAACTATTTTTGACGGGTATGTTTATTTCCAAAATAAAGCTATTTTCTACTGACTTTACTGCAATGATACCGCTGGGAGGGTTCACCACTGATAATTCAGGCTCTTCCATTATTTTATAATTACAGTAAAGGCAGTAAAAAATTGATTATTTTAAAAAGAATCTTACGCTTCAAAAAAAGTTGACATTTATTAATATTATATAAGATAATGTTGAAATTCAACCAGAAGTCTTTCGTTTTTAAACACGTTAAATTCTTCTTTCTTTACATCTAACGTTAGCACTGCAGAAAAGAAGCATTCAGGCATCTAATGATGAGGCTAATAAACAGAAGACAATAGTGTCTAATGCTTAATCATTAGCTGCTCAACTTTGATGAACTGAACAGTGTTTTCTAACAACCGAATTTATAGGATGAGGCCAACGGACGCAAGATGTTATGCAATAGAACAATGCGATAAGAAGGAAAAATATAGATTTTTTCAAAATTTTAAGCAATATAATATCACTTTGGATATTTTTCTTTATTATATTTGTTAGAGGATAAATATTAACATAGTCGTTAATGTGAAAAAATAGTACAAATGTGATATTGTACTGATATAAGGTGCATACATTATGAAAAAGGCATCTCCTTATCTTGCAACTGAAAGTTGCTGACGGCTTGCGTCATCTATCGGAATAAATATCTGTTGATATTGGCGCAAGCCATCAGAAACTTTCAGTTGCACTATAAGGAGATGCCTTTATCATAATATTCCATAATGATCTCTCTTTATGTTTATTGACCAACAGAGTATTGGATGAGTTTGAGTATAGAAAAGACCTTTTCCCCCAAATCGAGAGATAGAGAGATTGAGATTGAAACTACTTTTATTGATCATTCATAGAAGATTATATA